TTTAAGAATTAAACGTTCCAATATTACGAAACACATTCAGTAAACAATTTAAGAATTAAACGTTCCAATATTACGAAACACATTCAGTAAATAAATTGTTTGTAATTACTGCTGTACGATTGTGCACATTCAGCTCAGAACATGAGAAAAGTACTGATTGATGACTTTTCGCAGTAACTCAAAGTTTTCCACAAATGAATCCACGTATTTGATGGTATAACCGAAACACACTGAAAATGCTACAAGACTTAATCAAACTGTGATCTGGGATATATATAATTATTGTACAAAGATTCATGTAATTTTGAACTAATTAGTAACCTTAATATTTCGACAGCTGGTACAATCAGACAGAGATTCACTCATAGTACAAGAAGACAGACAGGTGGTTCTATAGAAGTCATGTTATGAACCAATGATATTCTAGTCACCACTTTACTTAGGAATCTTTATAAATGTAATAGTACTGTCTGTTATATGTCCATGTAACTACCTCGCAGGGTGTGGATGGATCTTCAGAAGCATTGGCATGAAGGTTCGTTGGGTCCGTGGAGATATAAATAGAAATTTTCAGTTTCGCATTTTGCGTTTGGCAGTTTTTATGGGCGTTTTTTTTACCACTACTTCGCCCCCTGTAGATGGATCTTCACAAAATTTGGCATGAAGGTTCATTGGGTCCGTGGGGAGATAAATAGAAATTTTCAGTTTCGCATTTTGCGTTTGGCAGTTTTTATGGGCGTTGTTTACCACTACTTCAACCCCTGTAGATGGATCTTTACAAAATTTGGCATGAAGGTTTGCTGGTCCATGAGGAGATACATGCGAATTTGCGGTATCACATTTTGTGTTTTGCAGTTTTTATGGGCGATTTTTACAATTTTTACAGTTACATATAAGGGAAGCAACTATCATTAATCACGAATTTACATAAATTACGTACGGGACGGGTACCCCAGATAATATATATATATAGGAATGATGCATTTTTGATAAAAAATCTGTTTCTTTGAAATGTACAGCCAAATAAACCGTAAGGATCATAAAAAATGTAAATTTTAATAAGTTAGTTAAGTTGTTATCTATCAAAAGAAAAAAAAACTTCAGTAAATATGCGAAACGAATACAGACTTTGATGTACTCGGGTTGTTCGAAATTAAAACAAGAACAACAGATATTAAATTGCTTGTGCAAAGAGCCAATTAAAGTATAAAGAGCTTATAGGCGAAATCATTGTACGATATTATTAAGCTTAGTTTTTACTAAATATACTCAAGGGAATATTGATGTTATCTCGTGAGATACATCAAGTTGGTCAGTGTCTGTCACTCACACAGGTACGACACGTATTGATAATATTGAAAATCGGTAAACACTTCGCGAGTAAACTATATGTCTGCTGACTTATGGAGAAAAACAACATCATCCACGTGCAAACAGTCTATCCAGAGTCGTGGCAGGAAATTGGATCGATACATGTATATATATATATATATGATCATTATAAAAATGGAGAAACAACAAGTATGACAACCGAGCTGTACAGACACTCGGAGAAAAACTACACAGACCCCTGCTTTTAATTAAGTCGTACAAAAAGCCAGAAGGTTAAAAAAGAAAAATTGAATGTATGAAATCAATGAACTTACCCTGTATGTACTCAAATTATCCACGACACAAAGTAGTTGGGCTGTGCGTCCTACGGCGACTGTCACATTGCGGACAGGTTCGGCGAACTCGGGCTCTTTGTCGTGGCCTACATGCAAAGAATGGCAGTTATTACACCTACCATTCTAACGAAATAATAAATGCTGTTATACGTTTGTATAAAAAATACAAACTCCTATGTATCGATATCACGTATTCTTCTCTAATGCTTACAGAGCTTAAAAGTAATTTAAACATTCCAGTACACAAATGGTCATTGTTTTTCAGTGTATTGTTTTGGGATAGTAAAAGGACGAATTTATTACTTCTTTTCAAGACCATGAAGATGTAGTAAAAGGTCACATTATGCGAAGTGAACTTAATGAACTTAATTTCTTGTTTGTTTGTTTTGAAGTTAAGCACAAAGCTACACAATGGGGCTATCTGTGCTCTGCCCACCACGGGTATCGAAACCCGGTTTCTAGCGTTGTAAG